ATTTTCAACTCACCAGTAATTCAAAAAGTGTTTTGTATACATTACCATGTAATGGGTTATTCACTGTTCATTTAGATTCCAAAGTTTTGTTTACAAGTCTTGTATTTTACGACAATTCTTTATGGATCAGCTTGGCTGTCGAAGCCCCATATAAATTATGTTTACCCTTTTAATACCACCCTCAACGATTGTAGACCTCAAACATGTGACCCTCTAAGCATGCTACAAATGTTTGTGGATTTTTGTTGTTCTTGGGGCTTTTTGTTTTTACTTGCCATCCCGCCGTCTGACAAAGTTGTGGCGGTTTCGATTTTCTGTGTTTTGTTTTTTTTTTTTCATTTTGTAGTTTGGTCATTACGTTACACATGCCCCCCGCATTACAATATATGTTCATTATTTACTCTATTACGAATACCGGGGTACCGGGGTAGAAATATTCCAGCCCAAGCAAAACAACAAACATTAATGTAATGTTATTTAGTTCTGGCATTGCAATTCGTTCAGTCACTCATTCATTCATTTATGCCGTTCCATGGCATAACATGACCATACCATGGTATCAGCGCAAGCACGAGCGCCAAACTTTGGGGGTGGGGTAGAGGGGTGCTGCATGCATTTAAATACCCATTCCATGGAATACCGCATCATGTTACCGTCGTAGGGTGGGACGGGGAGCTTTATAGCCTGTGTTGACGCTTTATTGGCGTTTTACGTTTCGTTTAACATTCCATTTGTACGTGCCATTTCGTCTGTCGGTTTGGTGTGTAAGCCAACCGTCGTTGTTGTTGTTGTTATTTTATTTGTTACTTTTGCATGTCATGAAAATATTAACATAGTTTTTGGGTCGGTCTCTCTCTCCCTCTCTCTTTGTTTCTTCCGTGGGTCTTCTTCCCTGTCCCATAAATAATTGAAAATAAATAGTTTCTTTGGCAAGGCAAAAAATGTGCTCATATTCAGGCCCAAACTTTTTCCAAAGTTCCTTGAATTATGCTTATCCTTGAGACCCTGAACTGTAAATTAAAAAATCGAAAGTGTAAAACTTTGTTCTTTTTATGTAAACAAATATTAATCAATAAAGAAAGCCTTGCATTGAAAAAAAATATGGGAATTTTTAAAGAGAGAGTAGTGCAAACAGCGTGGTACGTTTATTTGAGTATTTCAATTGCCATGGTAGAAGTTTGCATAATGCAATCAAAGGCCGGAATTCTCAATAGGTTTATGCCTTAAATTTTAAAATTTTTATTCTTTCAAAGATCGAAATTAAATATTTAAAATAAATAATTGTTATTTCCTTGAAATATTGGATGTCTTAATGTCTTCTAAGCAGAGCTCCGATTTGCTCAATTTTACTCTCTTTTACATATTAACATATGCGCGAACGGAGTGCTCGAAGAGTACAAGTTTGTTATAAAGTCTTCTCTCCACTTTTTTGTTTCATATCGGAGCTTTCAAGAGTTACACATATTTGAAAGTCAAAATGCTCAAGTTAGAGTAAGAGTTTACTCTAAGATTGTAAAAGAGTGGAAAAAATATTGAAATTTAATATTTTGTGTGTGTTTAGTAGCTAGCAGGAAGTGGTGATACTGTAGTCTGGTTGGGTGCTCGTGTACAAAGGCCGCGAGGGAAGATCAGCAAAAATATTGTATATACTCTCATCGTACAGGTTGGCGAAATTAATTTCATGCTGTCTGGTTTGCAGCTGTAGATTGATAAAAAGCACATACTCAAATAAAACAGAGGAATGACTAAATGAGTACTCGGAAAGATAGAATTTGCTCGATTTCGATTGAATTGTACTGTCACTCGAAAAAGAGCTAAAAACATACTCTCTCCTACTCGAGTGACACAGATAAATATAGTAGGCTTCATTTTTTTCACTCGCAGATGTACTCTACTCGAACTAGTGGTGAATCATGGGTAAACTAGTTATCCATACGTGGACTGGTGAATCAAAGGTGGACTGGCGATTCATAGGTGAACTTGGGAACCGAAGGTGAACTTGGGAGCCGAAGGTGAACTTAGAAACCAAAGGAGCCATATGTGAACCATATGTAAGCTGGTGAGCCATAGGTGAACTGTAAGCCATAGGTGAACTAGTGAACCATAGGTGAGCTCGAGAGCTAAAAGTGAACCATAGGTGAACTGGTGAACCATAGGTGAACTCGAGAGCCAAAGGTGAACTAGTGAACCATAGGTGAACTCGAGAGCTAAAAGTGAACCATAGGTGAACTGGTGAATCATAGGTGAACTCGAGAGCCAAAGGTGAACTAGTGAACCATAGGTGAAATGGTGAGCCATAGGTGAACTTGTGAGCAATAGGTGAACTAGTGAGCCATAGGTGAACTTGTGAGCCATAGGTGAACTAGTGAACCATAGGTGAACTAGTGAACCATAGGTGAACTAGCGAGCCATAGGTGAACTAGTGAGCCATTGGTGAACTAGTGAGCCATAGTTGAACTAGTGAGCCATTGGTGAACTAGTAAGCCATAGGTGAAATAGTGAGTCATAGGTGAACTAGTGAGCCATAGGTAAACTAGTGAGCCATTGGTGAACTATTGAGCCATTGGTGAACTAGTGAGCCATTGGTGAACTAGTGAGCCATTGGTGAACTAGTGAGCCATTGGTGAACTAGTAAGCCATGGGTGATCTAGTGAGCCATGGGTGATCTAGTGAGCCATAGGTAAGCTAGTCAGGCATGGGTGAACTAGTGGGCCATAGGTGAAATGGTGAGCCATAGGTTAACTTGTGGCCATAAGCGACCTAATGAGCTATAGCTTAACTATTGAACCAAAGGTGAACTAGTGAGCCATTGGTGAACTAGTAAGTCATACGAGAACTGGTGAGCCATTGGTACCAGTTCACCAATGGCTCACCAGTTCTCGTGTGACTAACTAGTTCACCAATGGCTCACTGGTTCCATACATGAACTGCTGAGCCATAGTTCATTAAGTGAGCCATAGTTGAATTAGTGAGCTATTGGTGAACTAGTGAGCCATATATGAACTAGTGAGCCATAAGTGAACTGGAACTGAACACCATTTGGTAAATTTGGAAAAATTTCAGTTCTTTTTTCTGAACTAAATCGGAATCTAGTTCATACTTGACGATCTAGTTCAATCATTCGAATCAGAATCGTGCGCCGAGTCTGAATGAAATATTTACAAACTATAAAGAAAAAAATTTAAAAGTTAAAGGAAAACCAGTAAGGAAAATTCAAAAGTCTGACGGACCCTTCTATATGATACCCTACACCACTATGTATATTTAGTAGAGCTCCCGTAACAAAAGAATTTATTTGAAGTAGATCATAACACATATCAACGATTGGCTTTAGAGCAGATATAATTTGATTTCAGAGGGAATTTATATATGTGAGGCATATCCAATTCTTATTCGATTTTCACTAAATTTGACGGAGACGTTTTAATCTTTTATACCAAATAACATTGCTATGGAGTGCATGATATCACTTCGAGAAGGATTATATTGAAAAATATATTTCGAAGCCGAGTTTCATAAAATGGAAAGCTACGTCCCGAAATTTACTCCATTTGGACTGATATTAGCCATTATTTGCACAATAATCCTGGAATCGGATTAAGGATATATGTGGGAGCCATATCTTAATCTTAGCTGATCTCTATAAAGTTTGGCAAAGGTATTTCCGGTATTTCTATAAGAAATCTGGTACCAAATATCATATGTTGAATGCATATTACGAATGTGAGTGACTTAAACTCCAAATCGGATGAAACATATCGGAACAGATTTTCACCGATATTTGATATACTTGCTCCTAAACTTAATTTGGTCGGATGTGCCGAAATTCAAGTTATTTGGACCGATATTAGTCATTTGGTGCACAATTAACCCGAAATCGGTGGAAGATATATATATGGGAGCTATATTCAAATCTGATCCGATTATCGCCAATTTCAATAGGGTTCGTCTTTGGGCCAAACAAATATTGTCTGGAAAATTTCATCTCAATCGGATAATAAATGCGACCTGGTAGGACTGATCCTCAAAAGTTACTACAGATCGACCTCGCTTCTTTCTCTATGTTACAAAGAAATGCACAAAGACATAATACCACTATGTGGTGTAGGATTGATATCTGGAGATGTTGGTGGCCATTGTGCGCTGGAAATAAAGCAAGGAACCCCATTTTGTAACTATTCTTAGGTGACGCGTGCTGCGTGCGATGGTGCTGAGTCCCGTTAGAATGTCTAAGGTCTGCAGCCAAACTGTTTGCGTGCCCAAGGCTTTAATAGTGGAGCGATAATATTCGACATTTATTCCGATGCCAAGGTCGATTAATCTCTTTAGCTTTTTTGAGTCTATTTTCTTTCTGTTGCGGTGTAAGTTCTTGCACTTTTTGGAATTTCAATTGCTTTACCCCGAGCTCATTTTTCAATATTTGCTGAATGGAATATTGCAATATGTTCAGCTCACGAGCCATTTTTTCGGCCACTGCGAAGCGGGTTTCGATCAAGTCGCTTCTTTACTTTTCGAACCGTTTCTACTGATGTTGCTGTTTCATTTATTCACATTTAAATGCTGGAGTGCTCTAACGATAGCCACTTGTGGTTTTCCAGCCAAATATAAAGAAATACTATCACGCTTGAATTCCATCACGAATAACTTTTTTTCTGGAAAATTCTCACTAAAAATTAGCAAAATATTACTTTAAATTTAATTCTATGCTCTAAAGTTTTAGAAAATCCACGCCAGTAGTTGGTACGAATAAGATTTCCATATCTTTATTAAAATTAGTTTTAATTTTAAATTTTAATTTAATTATTAAAATCCGTCTCTTTTCTTAGTTTCCCGTCAATTCGTAGTTTCTTGTCTTTTGTTGAGCACATATTCCAATTTTTTGTATTGCTGTCCTGACATTTTGCACTACACTCTAGTAGAATTTCCAATATTGTTTTTATTTTCAAATATCTGTAAAGACAAATGAAAACTCATTTTTGCCATTTCCTATTTATACGCAGGAAAGAATATCGATCGCATCAAAATCTCGAGAGTATGTCTTCTTCAGAATATAACATGATGATGACCTCAAGGGGTGATGTTGTGGTGGCTACATAGAAAAAAACGCTAACGCTTGTATAAACGAACCTTGTACAAAAAAGAGCTTTGTGTGGTAACAATAAAGCACACACACACACACTGTGAATAACGCTTTTTATAAAAAAGAAAAAAAAAAACAACAACATTTTTGCATCTTCGAATTTGTAACTAACAAATTTCAAAACCAAGTAACAATAACTCAACTCCATTTTGTACCATAAAACGCAAGACGCAATGATTTGGATAAGTTGCTGCTTTAGCTGTCTCTACTATTCTTCTTCTTCTTCATCATTTTTGTTAACTTCATTTTGTATAAAACAAAAACAACAACAACTACATTAACCACAACAATTGAGAAATCCAACAATCAACGATCTATGCCATTGATGGTTTGGATTGAAACCCGAATCAATATTGCAAATAACAATAACAAAGATCGTTACGAACTTGCGCTTGACTAACCCAAAAATCGAAAATAACCACTCCGCTCGTGGACCACACAGTGACGCCAATAACGCCAAGAGCCTAAGAAACCCGACCAACCCCTGTCTGCTGAACGGGGTCTTCGAAGGCAACCAACTGAAGCGACAGCAACATAACAATTGCAACGCAACATGCATACAAATAAATTTCTAAACAACAAAACTAAAACGTCATTCAATTCATCTGCATTATCATCTCCATCATCACCGCCACCACTGGCCACATCATCATCGCCCTTAACCTCATTATCGCCATCATCATCATCATTATCACCTTCATCATCGACATCATTTGATGTTGACCATCACCACCATCATCCGTATCAACGCAACAGCCATTATTCGCAGCATTCATATCATACCAATCCACATCAAACAACAAATTTCAATACTCCCCACAACCACAACAACAACTCCAATTCATCGTTTGCCTCCTCGATTGATTTAGAACCATACCTGGAAGCCATGGAGGCACGTTCCATTCAACGTCACCCGGAAACTGATGTCTGGGAAGAATTGCAGCGCAAAGAATCGGACATACTGCTGGCCGCTGAACTGGGCAAGGCATTGCTCGAGAAGAATGAGGAATTGGTGAAACAGCATGAGAAACTAATTGAAGAGAATTCCATTAAAATAGAGGTAAGTGCGAAATGCGATTTTCTTTAATATGCCTTTTTTTACTTTTAATAGTCATTTAATAATAATAGGGTTATTCACGTTCTACGCTGAAACAAAACAAATAAAAAACCAGTAAAGAAAGACTTAAAGTCGGACGGGCCGACTTTATGATACCCTACACCACTTTGCTAATTTAGTAGAGCTCCACATAACTATTAAATTTTTTTATGGAAGAGCTCAATCATACGCGCTACGATTATAATTATAATTTAAAGTTCAAAGGACTAAATATGCCGAAGCATTTCTATCTTTTAAATTCGGACTTGTATTGCCCATTTGGTGCACAATTAATTTGAAATCGGATAAAAATATATATGGGAGCTATATCCAAATCTGAACCGATCTCGATAAATGTTGGCAAAGATATTTCTGAGCTGTATTTCATTTATTTCCCTGAATATCGTTGTTACGGAGTGCATATTACGCCTGTGGGTAACAAATACAAAAAATCGGATGAACAATATATATGGGAGCTATAGCTATATCTGAACCTATTTGGCACACCAGCTTCTAGACTCAATTCGGTCCTAAGTGCCAAATTCCATCCCATTTGGAAAAATATTAGACGTTTGGTGCACAATATAAGGTAAATCGGACGAAGTTATATATGGGAGATATATCCAAATCTGAACCGATCTCGATAAAATTTGGCACATGTATTTCTGGGCTGTATTTGATATATTTCCCCAAACATTGTTGTAACAGAGTGCATATTACGGCTGCGAAGGACAAAAATAACAAATCGGATGAACAATATATATGGGAGCTATAGCTATATCTGAACCGATTTCGATCATATTTGGCATACTTATTTTCAGGCCTAACCTGGTTGTATGTGCAAAATTTCATACTTTTCGGGCTGATTTTACACGTTTGGTGCACAATAAAAGGCAAATCGGACGAAGATATATATGGGAGCTATATCTAAATTTTGACCGATTACCTCCAATTTCAAAAGGTTCGTCCTTGGGCCAAACAAATGATTTGTGCAAAATTTCATCTGGATAGGGCAATAATTGCGAACTGTACTTTGTTTACAAAAATACATGGACAGACGGACGGACGGACGGACATGCATAAATCGACTCAGAATGTGATTCTATGCAGATCATCGAAAGGAACTATGGGTCTATCTCGTTTCCTTTTGCCTGTTACAAACAAATGCACAAAGACATAATACCCTGACCACCTTGTGGTGTAGGGTATAAACATTAAGTTCGGCCGGACCAAACTTTTAATACCCTCCACCTTAGGGTAAAGGAAACATTAGAAGAAATGTGGCAAAAACCATTAAAATGTCAAATATCGGGAGGTACTGTTATATGGGGGCTATACCAAATCGTGGACCTACACATGCAATGTTTCGCCAAAGGAGCTAGAACCCATTATGACCTACAAATACCAATTTTCAGACAAATCCGTGAAAAAATCTGGCATAAATCATCAAAAAACCGAATATCGGGAGGTACCGTTATATGGGGACCATACCAGAACGTGGACCGATATATCTCATTTTCAATACCAACCATCCTAGACACAATACAAATTGCTCTGCTAAATTTTGGCGCTCTACGTCAAATAATGTGGGCTGTATCGTGATTTCAACAGACAGGCAGACAGACTGACGGACAGACAGACAGACGGACATCGTTAAATCGACTTAGAATTTTATGCTGATTATGAATATATATACTCTATGGGGTCTACGACGAATATTTAAGGATGTTACAAACGGAATGACAAAGTTAATATACCCTCCTTACCAAGGTGGAGGGTATAAAAAACCGAAAATAACAGTATTGTTCTTTTCTTAAAATTCCATTCCAAATAAAAATTATCAAATATACTACGATTTTGAAGTTTTTCGAATAATTTCTTGGTTTTAGTATTTTTCTAATGTCCGTGAACCATTAGATATTCAACTGAACTATTGACAAATACCAGACCAGAGGTGAACTAGTGAACCATTGTTAACCTAGATATTCAATGTGGAGGCTAATATTAACCGTTGATAAACCGGAAAAGAGCTGGTCAACAAGTAAAAAAGCACTAAACTCGGCCGGGCCGAACTTCTAATACCCGCCACCATTCGAACGAAACTTGAAAATCTTTAAAAAAATCTCTTTGAAAAATACAGTTGAAACATTATATGGGGGGCTACACGAAGACCTGCATATGCAATTTTTTGTCATCGGCTGTAATACCCGTTAGGATCTTCAAATATGAAATTTAAAACAATTCCGTTGAATAATGTCGCTAAAATCATCAAAACACCGAATATCGGGAGGTACCGCTATATGGAGACTATACGAAGACGTGGACCAGCATAGACAATTTTCTGTCATAGGTTGATATATCCGTTATGATCTTACAATACGAAATTTGAAACAACACCGATCCATAATGTCGCTAAAATCATTAAAATACCGAATATTGGGAGGTGCCGTTATATGGCGGCTATGCGAAAACGTGGACCGTGGCCTACTGGCAACATATACACGTGTGCAAAATTGTAGCCTTCTATCGCAATTCGTTCGTAAGGTAGCGTGACGACAGCACATATGGATATCGCTAAACTGACTTAGAATTTTACGCTGATCAAGAATATACAGGGTGAAATAAAAAAAAACTGCAACAAGGGCAAACCCCATAATTTTTACATTTTTTTTTAAATTTTATTGAATAAAAGCAAAAAATGTCGGAAATAGCATCAAAATTTAGAATAAGTTTACATTTGTTCGAATTGGTCACCTTTGGCACGAATTATGGCCTTCAAACGGCCAATGAAACCGTCACACGTTGCCCGAATGTTGCTTTTGGCCCATTCCCGGCGAAGCGCATGCTTGAGGTGATCGACAGCTGACCTCTTTGGCAAGTAAACACGATAATTTTGTTTGTTTACAAACTGCTGGACAACGAATGTTTTCTCATCGGAAAAAAACCAAATTCGGCAGTTATCCACTTTCGGCCAAGCGAAACAACTCTTTAGATCTTTTGAGTCTATATTATTTCCGCTGCGGTGTAAGTTCTTGCACTTTTTGGAATTTCAATGGCTTTACCCCGAGCTCATTTTTCAATATTTGCCGAATGGAATATTGCGATATGTTCAGCTTAGGAGAAATTTTTCGGTCACTGCGACGCTGGCTTCGATCAAGTGGCTTCTTTACTTTTCGAACCATTTCTGCTGATGTTGCTATTTTCTTCCGTCCACTTCCTCGCCGTCGGGCTACGCCAGCAGTATCACGATAACGAGCGATGGTACGAGACACAAAAAATTTATTTACATTTAAATGCTGGAGTGCTCTAACGATGACCACTTGTGGTTTTCCAGCCAAATATAAAGAAATCACACTATCACGCTTGAATTCCTTCACGAATAACTTTTTGTTTCTGGAAATCTCTCACCAAAATGCTTTTGTACGCTGTTAAACAATATAATGAGCTATCACTGTCGGACGAGTAGCTTAGACAGCAGTCTGAAGTTGGTTGCAGTTTTTTCATTTCACTCTGTACAGATGAATACCTAATTCCGTAGTCATTTCAATACAGGTAGGGGTCTCTGAGGTCTTTCATGCTAAGCTAAAGACTGTGTTCGCTGCATAGTGCAAGACCTATAAGATCTTTTCTATATAGATGACGACTTTTGCGGCTTTTCTACTACACAGAAATACCTCTGTTGTCTTTCCTTCACAGATGTATCCCCATGAGGTCTAGTTAATATAGATTAAGAACTTTCAGGCTTTCAGATATAGATTTCGGGGGACTTCTCTATACATGATAAAGTGAACATCCCATTTTTAAGAAGAAGAAGCTCCCCCTTTGAAATAAAAAAAACGTATTATGATGCCACCTCTTTGAAAGCAGATTCATTGTGGAAAGACTTCTAAGGCGAAAAATTCATTTCTATTTTCCACAATCTTAACAGTTTTTTCGCCGTGCAGTTATTTTTTTCCAATAAAATTATGACCAACTGATTACTACAATTGCCACAACTGCATTATACTCAAGATTGCATATTTTTTCTTTCGAGTTTTTTATACACATTCTTTGCTTGTTGTAAGATAATTTTAATATTTCGTGGCCAGTGAAAGGTTTTTCAACTTTCCATTTGGGGTTTTTCTGCATGTTCTTTTAGCTATTATTTAGTTAGTTACTTCCTCATTTCTTAAAGATCAATTCATCTTTACGAAAAGAAACCAAAGTTTAAGCATTCGTGGCCAGATTAAAAACACTTGGGGAAGTCGCAACAACTGGGGGTTTAAATTAAAAAATATTAAAAAATTATGTTCGTTTTATTACTTAATCAGAAAATTTCCTACTCTAAATGACCTAACTAACTTTTTAAGCTTTGTAGTATTATGTTTGATCTAATTTGCTCAATATTTTTTCATAGATTACAAATAAAGCCTTACAAGGAAAGGTAATTATTTATTATGTCCCCAAGAACCCCACAAATTGACATAGTGACATATATCGTATTAAAATACCACGGCAGAAGCGAATATTAAAAATTTAATTAGACCCTCGAAATTAAACCATTTAGCTCTGACATTTCCCGACAAATCCTCTCATAAAAGTTGAGGAGGAAAAACTTTTTTATAATAATTTCCACAAATAAAACTTAACTGAACAAAATTGCCCATTAGTCATGCAATTGCGCCTTAAATTCTACGATGGAAAAATTTTGAATTTTCCTTTGGCTGTCACATGGAAAATTCCCTCACATGCCGGAGGGTGTACACCCACCACAATTTTACCTCCACCCCACCTCATCTAATGCAGCCGGTTTGGCTGCACTTAAGTTTTTAGGTACTTTGTTGTACAAATAAATAAATCATATATAATTTTTGTTGTTATTCTTGTTGTTGCTGCATTTACGTCTGCACAACGGCAATTATTGATTTTTCCGTCAGTGCCAGTTGACATTTAGTTTGTTTGGTTAGTTGGTGGATTTATCATCG